GGGGTGTTGGATACGTGAATTTCGCAGAGAAGAAGATGGATGAGCGGCAAGCTCTGTCGTTGCTGGGACTGAAAGGGCGGGCGTCGCGACAGGAGATCCGGGCGGCGTACCTGCGTCGCACGTGGGAAACCCATCCCGACCGGTTTCCCGCCCCGAAGCGCGCCGAGGCGGAATGCATGTTCAAGCAGGTATCGACGGCGTATCACATACTCATCAACGGTCAGCGCGGCAGCAATGCGTACGCTTCGGCAGGGGGGCGGAACTGGTCCGCGGGAGGTTCGGCAGCGGCAGCCGCAGGCTCGGGCGGCGGCGCTTGGGGAAGCGCTAGCGCCGCCAGCCAAGCGGCGGGATGGACAGCAGGCACCAGGTCACGCGCGGGACGCCGCGTGGCAGTCATGCTTCCTTTCCTTCTCATCACCGTCGGGACGGTCACGCTTGGCGCCAACCGCCTCAGGCGCGCCTACCAGATCCAGCGTCGGGACTGCCCATCAAGAAACCCCTTTCTTCCTTGATTTGAATCGGGAGGAACGTCTGCCTCGGGATAGGACTCGAAGCGAACAGAACTCAGATGTCATGCATATGCATCCTCCGAAAAACCTCAGGAGAGAGAGAGAGAGAGAGAGATGGATTCATACATTCTCTAAACACAATAATTCCCGACAATATATTTGTAAATGCAGTTGTGCTGTGTGACTAAGATAATACTATGCATGGGGGGAGACAGAGAGACAGAGAGACAGAGAGAGAGAGAGATTATACTCGGAGAACTCGCAAAAAGAAAGCGTGAGGGGATCGGGTTGAGATGAATTACCTCCAATTTATTTCAGAGAGCAGTACTTTATAGCACCAGCAAACATAATTCTGTTTTTTTTTTCCCCTTTTTTCGCAGTAATGAAACTCTGCCCTTGTGCGTATTCACGAAAACTCGTATTGTCCCGGAAAAAGAGAAACTCGTGTTGCTTTCAGAGTCCTCACTCCTCACTCCTGAGAGAAGTGTTCTACTGTATTACTATATGGGTTCCTTTTTTCCCCCTTTTTTTGGTGTTCACTACTTAGTCTCTCCTGCAGGCAGTAAATTCATCGCAGTGAGTTTTTTATATGTATCTGATCAACTATACCAAAGACATTCATTTTCGCGTTCGTAGACATTCGTGGGGGCCTGTGTGTGTCTGTGAGAGAGACAACCCAACATCCTCTCTCTCTCTCTCTCTCTCTCTCTCTCTCTCTCTCTCTCTCTCTCTCTCTCTCTCTCTCTCTCTCTCTCTCTCTCTCTCTCTCTCT